AAAGACTTCCAGCTTATTTCACACAAATCTTCACGCTTAAGTTGTTAATCAAAAAGGAGTAGTTCAAGTGGAAAGGACGTAGGGAAAAGTGCACACCTAAAGCAGAGAAGGCTAGTTGCCTTCTATACTTGGTTAGCGCTTCAGAAGGACTTCCTGTTCCCTGGAACTCATCTTTACACTGGCCTTCAAAAATAACTGATTATAAAAGACTTATCATCACCATCACCCAGTTGCCACTGAGTCGATTCCAATTTACGGAGGCCTATGTGTGTCAGAGTAAACTGTGCTCCATAGGGCTTTCAATGGCTGATTTTTTAGAAGCCGATCACCAGGCCTACGTTAGGGAAATTTTCTGTCATTATTTCTTCAGAAATAATAAAAAAATTAGTTCTAGAGAAACACAGCTATAGCACTGATGACACTGTAAATTTCTAGATAAAACTATAGCTAAAGTCCACAATACCAACAGATTCTATTAAGTCAGTCAATGTATTTCTTTTATTTTTTTAAGCTAGTTTATACTGGGTTTTCTGATACTTGCAAATGAAATCACCCAAACTGATTTCAGTAATATTAACCATTAACTTCAACATACACCAAGTTGATCCCTGTTTCTAATAAGGTCACCAGAAAGCTAAAGTCCTGTAGTACATTTCTACGGACGTAAAATTATCTTTATGGACCTCAACTTTTATTGAAGATTAATAGAAAAATGTTTTTCTCTAAAAATAATTTTTAGTTTATTACTCCTTTTAACATCCTCATATACACGTGAAAGCTGCACAATGAATAAGGAAGACCAAAGAAAAATTGACGCCTCTGAATTATGATGTTGGTGAAAAATGCTGAATATACCATGGACTGCCAGAAGAACGAACAAATCTGTCTTGGAAGAAGTACACCCAGAATGCTTCTTAGAAGCAAGGATGGCGGGACTTCGTCTCACATACTTTAGACATGTTATCAGGAGGGACCAGTCCCTGAAGAGGGACATCATGCTTGGTAAAGCAGAGGGTCAGCAAAAGAGAGGAAGATCCTCAACGAGATGGACTGACATAGCAGCTGCAATGATGGGCTCAAGCATAGCAACAATCGTGAGGATGGAGCAGGATTGGGTAGTGTTTTGTTCTGTTGTACACAGGGTCACTATGAGTCAGAACTCGACGCCACCTAACAAAAACAACATAAGAACATGTACACATATACACCCTAAACAATAGAAACAGAGGCATTTATACATACCATTGTTGTTGTTATGTGCCATCGAGTCAATTTCAACTCACAGTGACCATACAGGACAGAGTAGAACTGTCTCATAGGGTTTTCTAGGTTGTAATCATTCCTGGAGCAGATCGCTAGGTCTTCTCTCCAGATCAGCTGTTCGAGCCAACCTTTCAGTCAGCAGCCAAGCGCTTAATCATTGTGCCATTGGGGTTCTTTATATATATCAGAGAAAAATAAATAAGTACATGGGAATGCAGAAGAGGAGAATGACAGATTCTAACTGGGGTGGAAGGGGAAGCTATGGAAGGCTTCACTGAGGAAGTGGCATCTGGGTTGGTTTTAAAGGCTCAGAAGAATTTTGGCAGAAGGTAGATAAGACATTCTCAGTAGGGGATGCAGCATAAGATGTGAGAGTGCCTAGCATATCTGGGATGACAATTTGTAGTGTGATGTAATTATATGATATCTATGTAAAGGAGACTAGCCGAAAATGAAGCCCAAAAGTGAGACAAGAGCCAGATTATCGAAACACTTAAATGTTGTTAAGAAGAAGGTAGTAGGAAGAAACCCCTTCCTGAAAAATTTTGAGCACACACAGGATATGTTTCGGTATAAGATATCTCAAGTACTGAATTGCCAATTCTGTTCTAGAAGACTTTTACTTAAATGTCACCTGTATCTGGAAAGCTGCCTTTCTATTTTACATTTAATGGCACCACCACATTTCTATTCCTCTCCCCACTATATTGTCAGTAAATAGATTCTTTAAATTATCTCATGCGCATGCATGTGTGTGGGTGCCCGTGTGTGTGTGTGCCCGTGTGTGTGTGTGTGTGTGTGTGTGTGTGTGTGTGTGTGTGTGTGTGTGTTTCTTCAAGTTCAAACACTATAAACTCTGGAGCAGAAATAGTATCTTGTGATTTTTTTTTTAAATTTGAGCTTTAACTTAGGGTTCATAGGAAGCATTCAAAAAAGGCTGAATAATTATAAACAAAATATATGAGACACAATTTACAACATGGATTACGTTCCTATTATGATCATCTATCCATGGGTACTGTTCTTGCTAGTTTAAGCACTTTCTGCTTGTTTAACTTTTTATATAAATTACCAACCAGGATTTAAATAAAAATGGACATGGGCACTACAAAACTCTCTCTTCGCTCTCCTCTCCCGAGTGTAAACCTTGCTGCACAACACATAAGATGGTATGGACCCAATCTGCGGATTCACAGTGGGAGGTGACCCAGGCCACTGAGTCATTACCAATAGTCTGGACCCAGAGAAATCCACCATCCTGAAACCATAGTAGTTTGAGGCAAGTTCATAAAGACCTTTTGATCCTACTGCCAAACAGCATCAAAATTCAGTCTCTTACTTTCCTTCTGATTAGAACTACCTTGGTTTAGTCATTCAGACATTTTTTTTTTATCTGGGTTACTGCATCAGCCTCTAGCTTATCTCCTACGTCCAATCTTTACACTATGGCCAGAATGATCTATCTGAAATACAAATCCCTCCATACTCCATCCAGCTTAAAATTCTTCCATTGTTGTTGAGTACATTCTGACTCACAGCGACCTACAGGACAGAGTAGAACTGCCCCACAGGGTTCCCAAGGGGGGGGGCTAGTGGATTCGAACTGCTGATCTTTTGATTAGCAGCCTGAGCTCTTAAGCATTGCATCACCAAGGTTCCTCTAAAATTCTTCAGAATCTTCCTAATAGCTGTAGCACACCAAGTCCAAATTTATTATAGCACATAAGACTCTTAGACAACTAATGGCAGCCTACATTTCAAACACTATCTCCTGCCATTCAGTCACTCAACAAATATTTACTGACTACCCACTATGTGTCATGCACTCTTTTAGGCACATGGTGTGTGTGTGTCAATAAGACTTTTTGACAGACTGGATGTGGGATGTGACAGAGGAGCCAAACATGTAACCAAGGCTTTTGAACCGAGAAAAGTGGAGGACAGCTGGCATTAACCGAGATGAGAAAGACTGCTGGTCCAGCAGGGTTTGGGGGAAGATCAGGGAGTTCCGTTTTTGACATACCTGCATTGTCTATTAGACATCAAGCATGTTTTAGGATATGTAAGTTAGTGTTCAAGTAAGAAGTCGTGGCTGGAGATTCTGCCATTTTCTCAAACAAATCCTGCATTTCAGGCTTGTAGACTACATGCAGGTACCCAGAGTCTCCCCACACCTTCGTGTCTGCAGGTCTCTCTATTTAGAATGTTCTTATCCCTCTCTTTTTCCACCTAGTCAAAAAAAAATCTCAAACCTGAAGACTTAAGGTGTGTATCACCTACTTTATAAAACTCACATGACTGTCATCTCCTGAATCACCCTGCTTCCTTCCCAGGTCAAGTAAGTAAAGACTGAAATATATAATGGCTGGTCTTTTACCTACTGGAAATGCCTAACAATTTTTTGTTGTTGTTGTAAGAAAGAAAGAGTCATTCCATAAACACATAGGTGATTTGTCTATCTCATCATCAGATATCTTTAGAAAACCTTTAAGGAAAATTAATACTACAGTAAAAGATCTTGGCAAGCAGCTCAGTAATCAGATTTTACATTTCCCAATTTCAGTAGTTATTTGAAAAGATAAATCTTCAGAAAGACTTATATTATATAATAACTTTATAGGCTAATAACAAAAAAGAAGCATCTTTTGCCTGTGTTCCAGAGCTATTTTCTGTTATAAGAATTTTCATTTTGACTGTTATTCTTTTACTTGCCCTGAGGGGGCATTTAAATTAGAGGAATTATTGGACAACGAGTCCAGTCTCTTTGTTTCATTCCCATAAGACACAGTCTAATCTAACTGAGAAAAGGGGAAAAACTAAAAAGATGGTGTGAAATTGAGATGATCCAGCTCAACTAGCTTCTTTGGTGGATGAGAACGCTGATGGTATCTGGAGAGGCTGCTGCTAGCACTTGAACACCGTGTTCTCAACTACTGTTCAGTGTAGCTTATAGTCCGCTAAAACGTAGGCTCCATGAGGGCAGGGATTTTTGTCTGTTTTGTTCACTAATGCTTCTCTAGCTCCTAAAAAAGCACTGGAATACATTAAGTGCTAAATGAATAAATGAATGAATTTATAATTCTAAATCATATGGGGCTGAAATACATATAAACCATGAAACAGGTATGATACATGTCTTCAATGTTTAAAAAATTGCTGACTCTTTGAAAGTCATAAAATTTGGGGTATTTAAATTTTGAAACCATCATCTTTAAATATTAATTAAAGAAATGTTATCCACATACAAAAGTGGAAGAGGGTGGACGGACTCTGAAGCAAAATCTGTTATAACAGAGTATAGAAGTTTATGAAAGTTCTCTGTAGAGCAAGTGAAAAGGATGATATTCTAGCAATTATAATTGCTTTATACAGTGTAATATTTTGGATACCTATTCATCATGGGAAAATTACAGCCTTTGAAAATAAAAAAGTACAAAGATCTTACTGTATGTCCTTTGAGAATCAAGATTTAAATGACTACTAGAAAAGAAGCTAAAAAACTTTGATGCCAGGATATACTAACACAATAGCTTAAAATACCGCAAATAAATAGCCCAGGTTCTGAAAGTTCCCCAGTGCCAAAGAAACTCTTACTTGGCTTTTAAAACAAACAGCCTTAGAAGCAAACACTTTCAACAATAACCACTGTTTTAATGCAGTCAATAGGCAATCTAATACACGTATCTCAGTCCCAAAAGGAACTATCACGTATCATTTTAAAGTTAAAAAACACCAACCTCTTTAATCTCATGTAGTTTTCACTGGCAGCAGGTCGGCATTCAGCTCTTTGGACCACTATTCCTTCCAATGAAAGTTTATCTGAATAGAAAGAGAAAAAGGAACAAATGTATTCAGAGATTACATTCATCATTTTCAAAACTGTCTCTTGTCACACCTACCATCAGTAGTACAACAAACAAATATAATAATAATACAAACCAAGGAAACAGGAGGAATAGTATTAAGTTTATAGCAGTGTCACTGGTCAGAATAGAGAAACCTTGTTCTTGGTTAGTAACAAACTGGGCTCCTGTCAGGTCCATTTATTGGGCTGCCATAGCTCCTTGCCAAGAACAGCTTTCATGTACTTAGCTCTTTCTAAATAAGGTGGTTTAAAAAGGCATAAAAATAAAACAAAACAAAACAAAAAAAACTTCTGAAAAGTATGGAGGCAGAGAAGTGATGGTGAAAACA